TCTCTCCTCTCCTCTCTACTCTCCTCCCCTCTCTCCTCTCCTCTCTCTCCTCTCTTCTCTCCTCTCCTCTCCTCTCCTCTCCTCGTCTGCAGTCCATGTGTGTTCTGGTCCTTGTGTGTCGCTGCTTCCGCCCGCAGTATCTCGTGGGAGAGCCGTCATAACGATGAGCTCCATTCCCTTGGAAACACGCTTTCTGCTTCCTCTGCTCAGTGTGTTTCTGTCTAAACTGTAAAAACTGGATTCAACTGCAGCACAAACACAAGTTTGCTCATATTACGTAATATTTGTACATTATTTTAGTGACTTTGCAAAATCACTTAAATTTTTTCATATAGTTCTATATTATGCTTTTATAATAATGATTGACTGTAAAGCCTTCGTGCCCTGCTGTTGATGAGCAGGTTGTTTCCGGAGTCTCATGTTGATTCTCGGACACTGAAGCTTTGAGAGAAACCCGAGCTGTCAACAGGAATCACCATGAACTTCTTTTCCCTCACTGCCATCCAAACAGTGCAGTGCATGATGGGTATCTCTCTATCCCACATCCCTCTGATGACACTGTACATGTGAGCATTGCAGTCTGGTCTCATCTCATCCTCTCTCAGAGTAAAAACTGCTTCATTAATGATCAGCCGGACTGTGTCTCCCTCTGCTGCTGAGAAGATGCAGCGCTGCCCACAGATGAAAACAGGTCAGAACTGTGTATCAACACAATAAAGAAGTCACAGTTTAGTTGTCATCATATTTCTTATTTAAATTTTTTGTTATTTCAGAACCAGGATTTCCACAGTCTTGGAAAACCTGGATATATGAGTAGGGAATATTAAAAGTGTGATTTCTATCTGGGAAATTAATAAAATCACAGACATTTCTGTAATGAAGTGCAAGTGAGTCTATTTTTGGTCCATTTTGCAGAACAAGAATGATTACAAATTTAAACTGTGAATCAGTGAAGATGCTAAATGTAAGTTCAGGAGTAGCGAGTCTGATCTTGAATTAATCAGAGTTTAAAAGCAGCCGCTTACAGCGTCCCTCCACCAGCCAAAAACAGGGATATGACATCATACTGTCACGAACTCTGACCCTCAACACACTCACGTTTCGCTCCCTAGATGACGAGACGCAGACAGTCCTGCAGGAGCTGACGGGTCCCCTGATGCAGCTCCGTCCGGAGGCCCTGCTGGGAGAACAGCCACAGCTGGTCGATGGAAAGCAGGTGTGTGTGTGTGTGTGTGTGAGTGAGTGAGTGTGTGTGTGTGTGTGAGACCCACAAACTCAATTACTGCTGAAAAATAGATGACCACATCAGGCACTCATCTGAACTTCTCCTATGAAGCCGTCATGTCTGCCCAGTGCCGCAGTACACATCGAGTTTTGATTAACTGGAGGTGACAGTGGTGTGTGTGTGTGTGTGTGAATGACACTTCTGTCTTAATGCTGACATGTTAATCACACACAATTCTTAAATCCACATCCAGCATCACAGCATGTTCTCATGATTTCTGCCAGCAAAAAATTTGAAAATGTAAGTAGCTAGAACAGATGAATCGAATCTTGTTAGTATGGGTTTAAGTCAGTCACTGTGTGTGTGTGTGTGAGTGTGTGTGTGTGTGTGTGCAAGTGAGAGTGTGTGTGTGTGTGTGTGTGTGTGTGAGTGTGAGTGAGTGAGTGA